AAGAGAAGAGAAGAGAAGAGAAGAGAAGAGAAGAGAAGAGAAGAGAAGAGAGAAGAGAAGTGCTGCAAGAACCCAGGAGGAAACCGAAAACGAAAGTTCTCACGGGGTTCAAAGGGTTGGCCAAATGCAAGCTTGAAAATCATGAGTCACTGCATCTGGGTGCTGGGCCCACTTGAGAGCTCCAGAGAGCTGCTGCCAGGCTGCTCCCCCCGAGCAGCACCGAGCCCTGCCAGGGCAGGGGCTCAGCCACAGCCTTGCTGGGCCCACCCGGGGACTGGGGTGGCAGTGGAGGAAGCACCCGAGGCTTCCTCAGTGGAGGAGGGGATGGGCACCTGCATCCACTCAGGCACTCCTCGAGCTCTCTGCATCATCCCAGAGCAGGGAATCCTGTGATTCTATGATTCCAAGAGCAAGGAGAGAGGCAGCCCTGGAGCCTGGGTCTCTGCTGATCTGGGCAAGTGGGAGCCAGCTCTCTCCAAAGATCTGCTCTTGGTCTCAGCTGATGATCCTCATAATTTTTTTGTGGTTTTTTCGTCCATCCTTGGATGGGGATGTTTGAGCAAATCAGGAAACCCATTAGTTCAGCCCTGCAGAAGTCTGGCCTGGGAACATGCACTGGCATGTCAGACTGCAGGCAAGGAGCTGCTGTGATCCCTGTTAATCCTGACTGGAACCGTGTGGCCTCTCTCCCTTCTCTGCAAACCCTGGTGCTGAGGGTGAAGGAGCTGCCCCAAGCCCTGAACTGCAGGTCTGGGTTTGGGACAGCCGTGACCTTCAGGGGCAGGATGGGCCGTGCGTGTGGTTCTCATTTCATTTCCTCTCAGCCCCGGGTGAAGCCCTGCAGGTGCACTCTGCTCTGGGCTCAGGAAGTGTGGTGTTGCATCATTTCAGGGTGGAAAGAGCTGCAGCAAGCCCACGCAGAGAGGGAAGGAACCTTTTTCTGGCAAAAGCGAGAAAGTGCTCAGGAGGCATGGTAGGGAATTGTCCTTTTCTGGCAAATGACATCGGTGATAAAGAATCTCAAAGAGGAGAAATCCAGTGCAGTTAAAGGACTAAAGCAGAATTCTTTCAAGGAATGAGTGTGCCAGGCAGGGAGGAGCCAGGGCTCTGGCAGAGGATAACGGCAGCGTTCCCACTCTCCGAGCACTTCCCGGGCTGTGAGGAGCTGAGAGGCCGCAGGGCTCCAGGGGTCCTGCCGGCTGCTCAGGCCACTCACTGACCCCCCCGTGGTGTTCCAGGTGCTGCTGACATTCCCAAGCACCCCCTGCAATGGCCTCAGGGAACGATGGTGACCCACCACGGGCCCAGGGACGCCGGGGCAGCGACGGGCGCAGGTTGTCCCAGGAGCTCAACCCAGGTAAGGAGCTGCTGGGACGTTCAGGGGACGAAGGAGTTTAAACCCTTTACTTATTTTTTTTTTCATTCCCTGCTGTGTTGCTTTGCTAAGACGGGATTTCCTTCCTCCAGGGCCCTTTGCAAGGCTGGGATAACAAACCTGTGATACCTTGCTGAACTGAACTGGGAGGGCACGTGCTCGGTGCTTTTGGGAGATGCCAGGCTGGGCAGGGCTGGAGGCAAACTGGTCTGGTGGAAGGTGTTGGCACTGGGCGAGCTTTAAGGTGCCTTCCCACCCAAACCAGCTGAGGATTCTGTGCTTGGCATTGGATCAGTGTGGTGGAAGCAAGGTGGGATTGAAGGGCACGGGGAGAACAGTGTGCAGGGAGCTGCTGGACAGGACACACTGGTGCCTGGGGTGCTGTTTACTTTCCCTTCCCTGAGAGAGCAGGAGGTGCTTGGTGTTTGAATCCCAGAGGAAAGCACACCCTGGTCTCGGGCACTCACTCTCAGGGTCTGTCCCTGCGGGTGACAGCAGCTCTCCTGGGCCTGGCAGAGCTGTGGGATGAGCTGCAGCCCACCAGGAGTGGGTCAGTCTGTCCGTGTGTGAGCCCAGCCCAGCAGACTGTGCCACAGCATTTCACACTGATGGGTGTGAAAAACTGGGAACGGGGCCAAAAGGAACCTGGGAAAACCCTCAGCTCCCATTTCATCCCCAAATGATAAAATGCTGCTGTGGAACATGGTGACTCCTTGACCTGTTGGGCAGGTGAGATGTGAACCAGCTGAGTCAGCTCTGCCAATACCAGGGGCTGGGAGCTGCCCTGAACCCTTTGGGTGCCTGACAGTGCTGTTTGTGCTCTGGTATTGCCTGGTCTCCTGTCCACCTCAGAGTCCCATTTGTGCCAGATCCTGTGATTACACTGGAAGGAAAACTACCCCATCCTTCCCCATGCTGAAGTCCAGGAGGATGAAAATACCCAAACAGGAGCATGGTTTGCATGTGCTGGTTTCCTGTTGAGGAAACTGAGACACCGAAGTGAAAACCAGTGAGAGGGTCAGGCCCTGAGCTCTGACCACGCTGGGTCACAGTCACAGTTCTTGTTTGCTTGCAGGCACTTAAGGGCCTTCCTGGCATCCCTCTGCCTCCCAAAACTCAGGAGGTTCCTCTGGAATTTGGAGGATTCCAGAGGAATCCTGCATGCCTCTTAGGCAGAAGCCTTGTGGGCTCCAGTGGCAGCAGGAATGTGCAGATGTCACCAGCACGTGCCATGGGATTGCAGGGTGGAAGGAGGCTTTTGTCACAGGGGTTGAGCCTGGATTTCATTTGGGGTTCTGTTTGCTTATCTTTGGATGCAGAAGAGATTTATCTGCTGCTCGAGAATTTGGTTTGTTATCATTGTGACCCAAAGCAAATGTGTGTCTGTTCTCCTGTTTTTGTTTTACTAAAAATAGCACCTGAGGTAATTAAACCAGGGTTATTTTTAGCGCACCAATTTCCTCTTCTGTCTGGCAGTGTAACCCTCCTCTCCCTGAAACTCTGAGTCAGTCACTTTCCTTTTCTCAGGGGAGCCTTCACGGGCTCCTCTGCTTCCCAGAAGGTAACATCTGTTTGCCAGCAAATAAACCCGTTCCTGCAAAACAAAAACCACGCCCTGAAAACACAGCGATGGGGTTTGTCACTTCCCTTCCCTCTGTTTACCCAACCTGGAGTCGGTGTAACCTGAGCACGACAGGCCCTGTCCTGTCCCCACAGCCCTCTGGGACACCGAGATGGGACCAGCCAGAAAAACCCTCCAGGGAGGGCAGTGGTGTGCTGGGGGGACCTGGGTACGGGGTCTGTGGGGCAGCATGGCCAGGACAGCTGTGTCCAACAGGCCAGGTCCTCACTTCCCAGCCCCAGGACATTGCTCAGGCAGGAACATCTCAGGTTGGAAATGCAGATTCCCGTTGCTGCAGAGCTGCTTGGCCAGTCTGGATACCCTGGGATGGTGGGATGGGGTTTTAGCTGGGTTGGCTGCAGTGAGCTGCACTGCTGGACCTGCTGTCACCAGCCTGGCAGGACAATCCCCCAAACCCACAGTCCTGCAGGATCCTCCACTCCTGACCTTCCCCCAGGCAGCACCTTGACCTGGCTTTGCACCCCAGTTGTGTCTGTGAATCTCCACCCTGAGGGTGATGCTCTGCCAAAGGAGCTGAGCTCTGACCCAGCCCCAGCACTCCTGTCCCCTTCAAACTTTTATGCTGGAAAAGACACTGGGAAGAACAATGTTAGTGCTCCCTCAGGGCCAGCTCCCTGAGCCTGTGGGGTGGCTCTGCGGGCTGACACTTGTTTGGGAGCTGCTGCCCCAGCCCACAGGGATTCTGGAGCCACCGAAACTGAGCTCTGACCCAAGACACCCCGTGACAGAGCAGGGAATTTCCCCAGAGCCACGGGACGGGTGTGATAAGGTATCGGTCACCACGGGGCCAGACTGCCTGGCCAGGGGCTCCCTGCTCCAGAGGGGCAGGTCCTGGGCACATCCCTGGGCAGTGTGGGCACAGGGACACGTGTGGGGCTGGAGAAGGTTGTTTGGGCACAGGGACACGTGTGGGGCTGGAGCCATCACAGACACGTGCACGTGGGGGGACACCAGTTGTTCCTGCCACACAAGGGCACAGCCCTCGGTGACGCCGAAACCCAGCATTGTTTGCTGAGGGCTGATGGGCAGCACCAGGCTGAGCTTTGCCTCCAGTCCGAGCTGGGATCTGAGATTCCTGAATCGTTTGTGCTGAGCAATGTCCTTATCGAGAGGCTGGAGAGCTGCCAGGTGCTCCAACATCTGGTTTGTGTTGTGACAGTCCCAGGGCTGCCTCTTGCCGAAACTGGATTCCAAAGGTGGGCTGTGCCCCCAGGAGCACAACTGGCTTCAAAATTATTTTTCTGAGGCCTAACTTCTGTTGGGTGCTTCTTGGGTTTACTGCAAAAGGCAGCTGTTAATACAAATGGCACAAATTTAGGCTGAAAATGAGGGAATGGTCTCTTTCCAACTTGGGAAAGGGGGACGATGAGCTTCTCCCTTGACTTTTCTCCCTCCTGTGTGTGTAGAAGCCCGAGTGGCAGCGGAGGCAGAGGAGGTGTTTCGGAGCTATGCCTTCTACCGCTACCGGCAGGAGAGGGAGGAGAGAGGGGCGGAGGTGCCCCCAGACCCAGAGATCGAGCAAATCCAGCAGGACGTGGAGAGGTAAATCCCTGGCACCAACCCCGTGCACGTCCCTCTGCCCATCCCGAGCCAGAGCCAGCCCTGCCCGGCCACACTGACCCCTGTTCCCTCGGCAGCACCGGGAGCCAGGTGGGGCAGCGCTTGGCCATCATCGGGGACGACATTTACAGGCGCTACGACGCCGAGTTCCGCACCATGCTGGACACCCTGCAGCCCACGGCGGCCAACGCCTACGAGCACTTCACCAAGATCGCCTCCAGGTAAGGCCCTGGCAGGTGGAGCCTTCTCCTGGAGCTCAGCAGGGAACGGGGTCAGACGGGTGCAGTGCTGTCAGTCAAACCCTCTCCCCCTCTCTGGCTCTGTCCCAGCACACAGGGATGATCCCAGCACACAGGGATGATCCCAGCACACAGGGATGGTCCCAGCACACAGGGATGATCCCTGCACACAGGGATGATCCCAGCACACAGGGATGGTCCCAGCACACAGGGATGATCCCAGCACACAGGGACTGTCCCAGCACACAGGGATGATCCCAGCACACAAAGTGTGTCCCAGCACACAGGGACTGTCCCAGCACACAGGGATGATCCCAGCACACAGGGATGGTCCCAGCACACAGGGATGGTCCCAGCACACAGGGACTGTCCCAGCACACAGGATTGAATCCGCAGCACACAGGGATGGTCCCAGCACACAGGGATGGTCCCAGCACACAGGGATGATCCCAGCACACAGGCTCTGTCTGTTCAAGCTTCACCCACTGTCCCTGGGCCGAGCTCCCAGTGAGCCCACCCTGACTGTTTCTGTGTTTCCTGCCTGTCTGCTCCTCCTCCTGTGCCTTGCTAGGACAGTCTTCCCCTGACAGGCACCTCAGTCCTTGCAGGAGCTGACTGGGGTCAGACAGCCTGGGGGATGTGCCCGTGCATCTGTAGCCAAGTGAATGTCCCTGTGCCCCTTCAGGGGCACAACCAGCCCTGGGCCAAGGCAGAGCTGCTGCTGGTCCTGCTGCTGCCTGCTCCAGGCTGGGACATCCCGAGGAGTCTGGCTGCCAGAGGCACAAATGCAGCCACAGGATGTGGGGAGGGAACAGTTCTCACTGCCTTTGGTGTGGTCACAGGAGTCATGGAATCACGGAATGGTTTGGGTTGGGAGGGACCTTGAAGATCATCTCATTCCAACCCCCCTCCATGGGCAGGCTGCTCAGGGCCACATCCAGCCTGGTCCACATGGAGCAGGGATCCCTCAGGATGGGGGATTCTCCACAGGCTGGTAGAGCTTGTGCAGGTGCTGCACATCCAGCTGCCCCTCCCAAAGCACAGCCACAGGTGAGTGAGGGACAGACCTGCAGTGCCTGAGGTACAGCTCTGACCGAGGTGGCAGCCAGGGCTGCAGTGCCCACCCCGTGTGGCTGCAGGGACACCAGGACACTGCACACTCCGTTGTTTGCCCAGGCTCGGGCAGGAGGCAGAGGCAGGAGGGTTCTCTGTGTTCCCATGGCTCCTCTGAGCACCCCTGGCTCTGCACAGCCCCCTCTGTTTGTGTCTAACTGCTTCTCTTCTGTCCTTTTCCTGCTCCCCTGCCCGGGAAGCCGCGCTGGCTGAGGCGGTAACGCACTCAGGTAAAATAACCCCTGTCCTTCTCCCTGTGCTCTGCTCCCTCCAGGGCTCTAACTCCCCTCTCCCTCCATACCTGTGCCAAGGCTCTGCAGGGAGCAGTGCAGGCACCACCAGAACAGGGCAGCAGGTTGAAACACAGGGCCTCAGTCTACTCTCTTTTTTATTTTTTATTCCCTTCTCGCTTGCTTTGCTGGAAACCAGGAAAAACACCTTCAAAAACCGGTCTAGATAAATCAGTGTCAAACCTGCCCTCAGCAGCCAAACCCTGGAGAAGACCCATTTGGGAGCCTCTTCCAGCCACAAAATCACCATGTCTGTGTGGCTGGGATGAGCCTCAAGGACTGGTGCAGCATTCCCAGCCCTGCAACCACAGAATCACAGAACTGTTTGAGTTGGAAAAGCCCTCTAAGGTTATTAAGTACAACTATTCCCCCAGCACCGCCAAAACCACCATTAAACCACGTCCCCAAGGGCCACATCCATGTGGCCTTTAAATCTATCCAGGGATGGTGACTCCACCACTGTTCTGTGCCAGGGCTGGACAACCCTTTCAGTGAAAAAACTCTCCCCAATATCCAACCTGCACCTCCCCTGGTGCAACTCCGGGGCCGTTTCCTCCCGTCCTGCCCGTGCCTCTCGAGCTCCCTC